TGGCTTTGACACACGGGGCTTGGATGTAGTCAGGTGTCCATGCAGGCAACTTAATTAGCCCCTCGTGCTTGCTGATGCTGCACGATCCCGTCGTCCAGTCGATGATAGGGTTGTGCTTTCGCAACCAATCAGGTCCCAGCAGCACGTCGCAGCCGTCCAGCGTCGTCGCGAGAAACTTCATGCTGAAGCCGAAATCGTCGCCGCATTCGATCCGCACCGTCCGTGTTTCCTCGAGTATCGCCAGAGGCGTCCCATCCACGAGGCGAGCGTCGATTTCGGGCAGACACCTGTCCAGTTGCAGCTTGCATTTTTTTGCTGTCGCCAAGTTGAAGAGGCTATGGCTGGCCCCTCCGTCGACGAACATTTTCATTTTTATTTTTTAACACTCTGCCAGCAACCAGCACAGGGTGATCCACATGGTTATCCCCGTTATTCGGCCGAGTGCGATCGATTGCATGAATCGGAACCACGACTCGATGGCGATGATGGTGTTCGGGCGACAGAGCACAGTCCTCAAGGGGCCCGTCTGTTACTGACTCTTCCCATTTCCCGGCTCCTTCCCGTCGTTCTTCTTCGCCGGCGTTCTCTCGGGGCAGTCTGCATATTTGTGACCCGGCTTCCCGCACTTAAAACACAACCCGGTGTAGGGGCTGTCTGGTGCATGGACTCCGTTGGTCGTGGCCTGTTGGGTCTGGCCACGAAAACGGTTTCTCGCGTACTGCATCAGTGCATCCGTGGATTCTGCCAACCGTGCTGCTTCCAGAAACGATGTCGGGCGGCATCGGCGTACCTCGTATTGTATTTCATAGTTGAGGCCGCTGACATACTTATCTAACCGCTCCGCTTCCGACATGTCGTCCACTTGGTCGGCGAGGGCCATGAATGACGTTGTGTAGTCTTGGACAGATGCCAACTGCGACCAGGCACGCAGCTTCATGCGAGCTTGCTCGGAGGCGTATATGTGCCCGAAGCGATCCCGTAAGGCTGCGCCCCACTCCTTCCACGTGCGTATCTTGGTCACGCCAAAAATCGGTGCTGCCACTTGATTGACCGACGTTGAAGTCCCGTCTGTCGCATCTGTCACACCTGTTGGGGTCCCCGTGTCCAAGGTACGTCGCCACCACTCCAGAGCCGCTCCTCGAAGAAGCGAAACGGTGTAATTAATACGCGTGGCGTCATCGTGAATGCGCGCTGCAGTAAAGAAGACTTCCATGCCGAACAACCACCCCTTCACTGTAGTCGTCTTGTCGCTAGGGTTGAACGGGAGCAAGCTTGCGGGCTTAATATTGATTGTAGTAACTGCAAGTGTCATTGGCGCTGACGCTGCCGGCCGCTTGCTCTCGTCGTTGCCTCGTGCGAGCTCGCCACTTGTGATAGCTCCACTTGCTCCATGGCTGGCGGTGCCACCTTCTTCATCGGGCGACTCCTCACGCGCTTCACCTCGCGTCTGGCGTAGCTCGGCGTTTTCTGCACGTAGTGTTGTGACCTCCATTGACAACGCCTTCACTGTTGCATATAGCTCTGCCATTTGTGCCAGCATTTCGTTCAACTTCTCCTGGTCCATGAGTCGCACACTTCGTCTGGAGGGCAGAGGGGTGTCTGTGGCCTTTAGGTAAGAAGAAAGTAAAAACTATCGGAGTCGGGCAGGTTAGAGTTAACGAACCTTGCAGCAGACCGTTTTGCAGTCTCCTGTACCAGCCAACCCGTGCCTCCAAACTACCCTCGAAAAGCGGGGTGAACTAGGAAAGTAGCTCTGATACCAGGTGTTAAGGGTTGTATAAGAGAGTGCGCGGAATAACGAATAACGGGGTTGTGACTCAATGAAATGACAATACAATGGAGGCACGCGACTATATAGTGATTACCCTAGCTAGGAGGGAACCTTTGGGAAAACGAGGTTGGGTGCAGGTTTGGCGATCGGCTGTCCGAAGGCGACGCGGGGTAGCCTCGGCATCGGAAATGTAGGTCGAACGTGCGAAGTCCGAAATGTCGGGGTTGTACGCGTAGCAGCTAACCCTAGTAAGGAATAGGAAAAATTCCTTACAATTCCCAAATTATAATTGTTTTTCTGGCATTGCTTTAGTGACTCCGACTATTGCTCTTCTCCTGTTATCGAGTCGCTGTGTGTAACCGTGTGGGCAGTTACGCATGTTGCCATTCTTCGCTGGTGAGTCGTTTGGTCCAGATGGTCAACAGTACTGTTGACTTGGCGACTGTTGACCTTCCTGCTCTTGTACAGGCTGACCCGATGTGCTGCTTCGATAGTAACGCGTGCGATACAGCTGCACCTACGGGAATGCTTAAGTCAATTCCCTTCTTACTCAAAGACGCCTCGCACTCTAAACGCTGGTCCGTAGGCGGGTGCAGTTCGGGTCCGCACCTGGTCCGCAGCTGGAACTGGCCAGGCCGCGCGGGGTCGGCTTCGGCCGCTACGGACCAGTTGCGATCTAGCGAAAATGTAATAAACCCCAATGGCTTGTAAACCTTGCAGCAAATTGTGGAAATCGAAACCTGGATTGCGGCTTTGGCAATCGTCGTCACGGGTTTAATCCAATTTTTTATGCCCACCGCAACCGAAACAGCTTCGAAATCAGACTGTAGCTGCAGTGCACCTTTGAAAAAATGAGGTTGAGTGTTCGGTTGGCATTAATTGGGTTTAGACTGATGGCATCAATCGCAATTTTTCTTCGTAGAAGCTGGTAGGCAGTTGCCCTGATGGATCGCTTGATCATGTGATTGGCTGGCATATTTGACCAGTCACTTTTAATTGCCCGCATCACTGATCCCCCGTAGGTGCAAGCTCTCGAAGACGCACCATACGGCGGATCAGGGCCCAGTTCGGCAGGCATTAAAAAAACGGTTTCCCCGTATGGGCTACAGTAAACCGACCACCCTGGAACCTTCTTTGATAAGCGCGTGAAAGGTTATCTAGGCTCGATATAAGCGGATCATCGCCGAACCAGACAATAATGGAATGCCAGCCGAACACCCCTTTTAACGCTGGCATTTTCCACCAGAGGAACCTTCCTCGAACCCTATTTCTCAGGCAAACTGGCAATTTTCTCATCCGCCGCACCATGCGGCCTCGAGGTCCCGCACCATGCGGGGTATCGTTGATTCGGGGCAGTCACATCTTGCCTTGAAAAAAACTTATCCATGTCTTTCTCACCCGTCTTCGTGCCCGCTGGAAAAGGTGTTGGAGTACGAGGAAGAGGTAGGAGGGCCACTTTCCCTTGCCATATTTTTTTAGACGTTTCCAGCTGGTTTGCAGGGCTGTCCGTGCTGCCAGTACAGTGATTCTGCGCTCCATCAGCGCAAGTGCATACGGGCTTCTGCGAAGTGTCATTTTCGGTTGATGCCATTAATCGTGGCCCATTTAATGACAACCGAACACTCTTGCCCATTTTTCCGAAGTTTCACTACAGCTACAGTCTGTTTTCACGTCTGTTTCTTGGGGCCATTTTTGGGGGGCCCGTTAAGGACGTGGGCCCAATCGGGTTTGATGGCCTCTATCAGCCGCGATCAATAATTTCCAGGAAGCCTGGAAGCCAAATTCAGGCAATCAGGGGCGATCAGTTGATCGCGATCAACTGATCGCCCCAACTCGATCAGACCCGATTTTCACCCCGATCAGAGTCGATTTTCCTCGATCACAGACGATCAGTTGATCGTATATGATCGGGGCCCACAGCGAAGCTTGCGAATAGTTACACTGTACTACTAGGTCTCGTCACCCCCTCACGATAACACGCGCGGAGAGGGGTTTACGATATTACAGGGATACAAAAAAAATTTCGCCAGGTGCTGTCTGGTCGCCAGTCTCGCTAGATTTGGGATGAAAATGCCAGGTAAATAGACCCTGCTTTCTGAGAAGCCAATGTCTATCTTCCACGAAAAACACCTCTGATCGGGCGGCTCGGCCAACTCGATCACAAGCAACCCGATCAGATCCGACCCGATCAGATCATTCGCGATCAAACACGATTGGGCCCACGTCCTAAAAATGCCCATAATGGCGATAATGGCCATAATGCCTGCCGAGCTAGGCCCAGTAAAAATGCCCATAATGGCGATAATGGCCATAATGCCTGCCGAACTGGGGTTTGAGGAAGATTGCTATGGTGGAAAACGCCAGCCTGTTCGGCTGGCATTTTGAAACGCTCTGGTTCTGCGTAGATCCGCTTTTATCGAGCCTCAATAACGTTTCACGCGCTTATCAAAGAAGGTTCCAGGGTGCTCGTTTTACTGTAGCCTATCCCCCGAGCCCATTTTTTTTTAAGCCTGCCGAACCGGGCCGAGGTTCCACGCCCTTGCACTGTCGTTCCCTTCAAGACCTTGTGGTGAATGAATCTGCTGTTATTTCTTGTGCAGTTGACTGCCAATTGTAAGGTATGAAACAGTCGTTCGTCCGTCATCCATTGTCATGTCATCCTCTGAGCTCGGTTGTGCCCGAAATTGGAATGATTGCTTGATGTGACGGTTGAAGCGGGTACAGTACAATGCCGCTTGACGAGTATTTTTAGGGAGGTCCAACGATGCTTGTCATTGATAGGTCCGCCTGATTCCAAGTGGGGCGCCATTGGCTGATGTCCTACTCGCCGCACGAGTGCGACCAAGATGAAGGGCTGTTCTGAACCGGCCATCCTCACAAGCCGCAACGTGTGGTTCCTAGCATAACTAACATAACACGGATCTGCTTTCCAGAACGTTCTTTGCTCGAGGCGCCCTCACTCTCGAGAGAGCATGACACGAGCTTAACAAAAACAAAAGGTTCATCTCTGGATGCGCCATGATTTCTTCATTCAGCCGTCTTTTCATTTTGAGCCGTCACAATTAGCGGGCCGATACAGCTCACGTTTTATGGTCCGGCTTATCCATTCAACGCTATTCACGAGCCCTTTATTCTGAAAACGTTTTTGGCTGACAAGAAGTTCAAACAATTCTCTCCCGTTCACCGCGACCGGACGGAACCCCCCTAATCGACAGCACCCTCTTGGCGAATGGGTTCAAGCTTCCCCTCGCCAGGAAGTTCCCTCGCGGTGCTCCCCGTTATATTATCCCCGCTAGGAGCTCCCCCACTCGGAGCTCCCCCGTTCGGAGCTCCCACGCTCGGAGCTCCCCCGTTCGCAACCCCCCCTTCTCCGCCGTTTCTGCGCGAAGAGGGGGAACTTGAAGACGAGCTGTCGGAGGAGCAAGAGGCGCTACTGCCAAGCGCTTCGCAAGCGGCAGCGGCGGCAGTGCAGGGAATAACGGCGGAGGGAGGGAATGGCGCGGCGGGGGCAAAATCGCTTCCCTTCTGCCTCGCGATCGCTGCCGTTCTGTTCCTCGTCGTTATTCTCGGGCTCCTCACGTTTGCAGCTCGCTACTACGTGCGAATCCATCTTCGCCGCGCTCGCCTCGCGAGGAACGACGCCGCGGCTTCGACGGCGAACGTTGGTGGGCCGCAAGCGTCTGGCGGTGGGCTGGATGCGGAGCGAATCGCGACGTTCCCTGTATGGCGTTACTGCATTTCCCCCCCTGTTGCGGGGGACATTCCCGATAAATCGGATTTATCCGATAAGAAGCCAATTCTGGAAAATGGCGAGAAGGAAATCATTGCAGCTGGAACTGCGACTACAAGAGAGATCGCTATAACGACTGACGCTGCTAACTTGATACAAAAATCAGACTCTCAAGAAATGGAGTTCTTGAAACGGGGGAGATTATTGTTGACGAGCACGGAGTGTACAGTGTGCCTGAGTGACTTTAACGAGGGCGAGCTGGTTCGGTCCGTGCTGCCGTGCGAGCATCGGTTCCACGTGGCGTGCATCGACCATTGGCTCGCCACCAAGACCACGTGCCCCGTGTGCCGAACGGACCTCAAATCGCTGGCGCCGCATGCGGGTGAAGACGACTCGGATCTGGCAGAGAAGGTGGCGGGAGGGGACGACGCTGTCTAAGGCTGTTTCTGATCCCCGTGAAACCAATTTTCGGCGATATGATACGGAATCGCCGAGCGCGCGAGGTCGCGCGTGTGCGCGTGTGCGTACCTTCGTGTTATTTTTTTTCCTTCTCCATGGATTTGTCACGCAATGGCGATTCGGGAGTGGTTCTAAAAAGTAAGGGTCGCATTGGTGTCGAGACAGTGAAGCGGAGAGGACGGACACTAGGGAATGGGCTCCTGGGTGCAAACCACTCGAACGTCTGCCTGCGTAGCCTCCGACGAGCCTTGAGAAACGCTGGAGCAGACATGGCCTGAGAATGGATCTGGGCGATCTGGGAGCTTGCTCCTCCGCCAGAGGTAGAGCAAGCACTCCAGCAGCGAGAAAAGCACGGAACTGGATTTCAGACTCCACTAAAAAGATAAACTCAATTTTTGGTATTAGCACGTTCGAATTGTTAGTGCTTATATGCGCTTATAGTGTATCTCGCACTGCCCAAAAAAAGGTAAATCTAGATGCCCACATTCCCCCCTACATCGCCACTAGATCTTTGGGTCTCCTGAAACTTGGCGAGATGAAGGTTTGGGACGTTTGAGAGTGGTTCCGGGTGTGTTGAATCAAAACGACCACTGAAGATCTGCGTTGCCCAATCAGCTTGCACATTGCTCACACCAAAATCTGGCTGGCTGTGCTGCCTGGCTCAATGACGACGGAGCGAAGTGTCGCGAAGACAAATTCAACACCTCGCACACACGATCGCCAGGCACACCACCAGTTGAGCACAACCACCAGAATTTATCGCTATTGGTCGAGCTCAGATTGCCTGGATTCCGGTTGAGCAGGTGAGGGGATTTCGGAGCGTCGGGCATCTGGAATTCACGCGGTCCGCGATGAGTCAGCATCCAATCAACACCTCTCCTCCACCCAACCAAGCCCACCTGACACCTCTTGTTCAAAATGGCTGCCAGTTACGAGCAGTTCAGCAGTTAGCCACGATCACCCAGGAATTCTTCCAGCAGCTCTAATTTCGACTAACTTACACATCCACAATGGCTGCTCTCGCTAACGCTGCTGTGCTCCCGTCCACCTTCGTTGGCCAGAGCGCTGAGCTCGCCGCCAAGGTGAACAATGTCGAGGCCCGCGTGACGATGAGGAAGACCGCCAAGGCGGCTTCCAGCAGCGCCTTCTACGGCCCCGACCGCAACCTGTTCCTGGGCCCGTTCTCCTCCCCCCCGTCATACCTCACCGGCGAGTACCCCGGCGACTACGGCTGGGACACGGCGGGTCTGTCCGCTGACCCCGAGACCTTCGCCAAGAACCGCGAGCTGGAGGTAAGCCACACCAGATTCATAACTACACATTTGACTCCGATTTCCTTTTGGGGATATTGAAACGCTTTTCTGAATCGTTCAATTCGTTGTGCGGCCTTCAGTAACTAGTAGCTTCGTTTTTCTTCTGTTCGCATGGTCACCAACTCTCGTTTCTCAAACCTGATTTTCCGTTTGATTGATGATGACGCTTTCTAGAATCAGTCACCCAGTGATCCGGCCTGCACTAGAATACTTCGGGATTGTTTTTTTCGTATCATCACCAACTCTCGTTTCTCTTGCGTCTGCTCCACCCATCAGGTGATCCACGCTCGCTGGGCTCTGCTTGGCGCGCTCGGCTGCCTCACCCCCGAGCTCCTCGCCAACAACGGCGTGAACTTCGGTGAGGCTGTGTGGTTCAAGGCCGGCGCGCAGATCTTCTCCGAGGGCGGCCTGGACTACCTGGGCAACCCCAGCCTGATCCACGCGCAGTCCATCCTGGCCATCTGGGCTTGCCAGGTCATCCTCATGGGAGCCGTCGAGAGCTACCGCGTGGGTGGCCTCGAGGGCTTCCAAGAGGTTGAGGACCCCCTGTACCCCGGCGGTGCCTTCGACCCCCTGGGTCTGGCCGACGACCCCGATGCTCTTGCCGAGCTGAAGGTGAAGGAGCTGAAGAACGGCCGCCTCGCCATGGTGTCGATGTTCGGCTTCTTCGTGCAGGCCATCGTCACAGGCAAGGGCCCCCTGGAGAACCTGTCCGACCACCTGGCTGACCCCACCGTGAACAACGCCTGGGCCTATGCCACCAACTTCACCCCCGGTGCTTAAATAGTTGATTTGTCAACCTGTACATTTTCTTTGTTCAATTTCGTAATACAATTTTGACTCCAAAACCTAGAATTTTTTCACCTGGGACAAGTAACAAGACCAGGAGAGCTAAAGATGTGATGATAAGCGCCTGCATCCCAAAACTGTTTGACCTTCATACTGTGTACCAAGAGGTTTTTCTACATTGCAGATACAGAGGTGTATAGAGTAAATTGAATGTAGAAAAACCTGTACGTACATAGTACGAGTCCCTCAATGTTTTGGGATGTGGGACTCGCTGCCTTACTGAATATCCAGTGAGTTAGTACTCTATACTTCAGATCTCCATGGATGTACCCGTATGGACTCTATACCAGGCAACTGAATAGCAGAAGTACAAGCTTAGCCTATCAAGTAAGTGTACAGGATTCTTAAGGTAAGGGGTGTGTTCCTTTGGCTTCTTATTAGGCCAAATTTCTTGTCAGACTTGCTTCTCACCGCTCTGTAACACACATTCAATTGCGCTGAAACGCATTGAACCGCACAAGCCTGACAAGGGGTGCGTCTGAGAGATGTAGGAACACGTTCACCTCTATATTGTGCTGCCCTAGAAGCTGTGGGGTATGCACGAGGTTGCGGTGAGGTTGTGGCCAACTTGTGCATGAGGTTGCGGTGCCATTTCGAACAAGGGTCATGCATTCCCAAGTTACACTGGTCGTACCGTTGTGGCTCCGATGGGTGTTCCACCATGCATATACCATAGCTCCTTTATGAGCAAAATGCCAATAGAGGCAAGCCCTCACTTCTATGCTGAGCTACATTCGCACGCTACAAACATGCTACCACCAATCTAGAGCAATGATACAACCATGCCAAAAACATGCTGCAACAATGATACAAGTATGCTTTAGCTGTGTTACAACCATGGTACAGCCATGCTACAGCCAAGCTCCCCATCCTGGAAACATGACGGCAAGGAGATCGGGGTCCTGTGCGTCCTTGATAGGCTGCTGCACCTGGTGGCAGTGGAGCCAAGCAATGCAGCGATGCAGTGCAGAGGAGGCAGTGTGTCAAAATGCTAGGCCAAAACGAGAAACAGGCAAGAAGGGTTTTGACTAACAAGCATAGGGATACATATATGCAAACCCTAGAAGGGCTGTACTCGCTATAGAGTACCCCACTGCAGGCTAGACAACCATCACATTCTGACACACCCCCATAGTCAAAGTGGGGTACAATCAACATAACAAGCAGACAGAGCAATAGTTCACAATTATAAGCAAAGCTAGAGGCTATCACAGAGGGCAAGTGAGGAGGAGGAGAAACTGTGGGAGCAAGAAGATGAGAGGCGACGGCTGAAGCTGCAGACACACAGGCAGCAGGAGTACGCCGCACTGACGCTACCAGGCTAAACCCGGACTACACGGCGACAGGGGGTCGCAGCTGGCTCGCTGTGCTCCCAGGAGTGCACACACTGTAGCTACCGGGCGCAGAGCCCCGGACTACTCAGGCCACAGGGGGTCGTGGCTCCCTGGACTTCAGGCGCTGCGGACGACAAGTCGACGGCCTCCTCTCAACTTCCCCCAGCTGTCCCACCCCCTTTTTACACACCCCCTGCTGTTCCCCTAGCACCGCTCACACTACACCCCCTAGCGCCACTCCCTCGGCTCCCACACACCCACCCCCCTCAGCGGCAGCTGCAGCAGTGGGAGACGGAGAAGGAGGAGGAGGAGGGGAACGGCACTCAGTGGCTTCACCCCCATACCCCTCACCCCCAAACCCTAATTCAGGAGAACGGGCTGTAGGAGGGGTGGGGCGCCAGTAGAAGCACGGGGGACAGTGGGGAGGGCAGGGGCAGCGAGGAACGGGCCGCCCACGGGCCTGGCATAGCCGCCCGAACCGCGCGCAGGCGGCCCGAGCCGCGCGCGGGCCTGGCGCTTCCCGTACGGGCCGCGCGCGGGCCTGGCGCAGCCCGTACGGGCCGCGCGCGGGCCTGGCGCAGCCCGTACGGGCCGCGCGCGGGCCTGGCGCAGCCCGTACGGGCCGCGCGCCGGCTGTACGGGCCGCGCGCAGGCCACGACGGGCGACGGGGGGCGACGCGCGGGTCCCCGTCGCCCGTCGCAGCGCCTCCCGGGGGCGACGCGCCGAGTGACGGGGCAGAAAACCGCCGCGCGCCCCGGGCGCGCGGCGGGAAGAAAAAATCGCTGCGCGCCCGGAGCGCGCGGCAGGCAGGAAACAGCAGGAAACAACAGCGGAAGCTTCTGGTGGGACCACCCACAGGATCGACCCAGGAGGGTCGACCCGCTCTGATAGCATGTCAAAATGCTAGGCCAAAACGAGAAACAGGCAATAATGGTTTTGACTAACAAGCATAGGGATACATATATGCAAACCCTAGAAGGGCTGTACTCGCTATAGAGTACCCCACTGCAGGCTAGACAACCATCACATTCTGACACAGTGCAGTGATGGGGAAGATGGGCCAGGGATGGGGAAGAAAGGCCAGGAATGTCAAAATATGTTGTGTAGGCTGTAGTGGGGTAGCCCATAAGGGGTACAACCCAATTAGGGTTTGCCATATTTGTACCACATTCCTGCCTAGTTCATCCATTCTGCTGTTAGATTCTGACATGGTTTCAGAGCAGGTCCTGTTCCAGGACCGTTCTCGTTAGGGCCCACCGATCGTACCCTGCCCGTCGACTGCCCCACTGCACGCGCATGCCCTGCCCTGCCCTGCGTTGCGCCGCCCCGCGCACGCCCTGCCCTGCCCTGCGTCGCGCTGCCCGCGCACGCCCTGCCCTGCGTCGCAACGCCCTGCGCGTGCCCTGCCTGCGTCGTGCCGCCCGTGCGCGCCCTGCCCTAAATCGTGCCGTCCTGCACACGCCCTGCTTGCGACGCGCCGCG